CTTTCTCATCACATTACCCAACCATAGTTACATAATACATTGTATCACGCTCCCTTAAGACTCAACCCAATCTCTTTCCCCCAAGGTGAAATCCATCTAAGCATAATTCATCACACACGCTACCTCTACTTCTCACCATTACAACACACGAACAACCATTACTATCTATTACTTACCCCTTAAACACTCAACCCTTCCACTATACCCAATAAGTCCAGCATGTATAAGTCAATGAACAATATAATCACATGTATAACGAACATATACAATATCATCAACATTTACGAACGACTAAAACCTTTCTCAAGTCGCACAATTAAGCCACATCATTGGTCCTCTCATGAAACCCAAATCCAAACAATTTATTATGCCGGAACGTGGCAATCGATCCAAGTTAGTTATGTTATAACGTGACAACCGATCCACAGTTATGTCGGAACGTGGCAACCGATCCAAGTTAGTTATGCCAGAACGTGGCAACCAATCCAAGTTAGTTATGCCGGAACGTGGCAACCGATCCGGTCAACACACCACAATCACAAAGCACAAGTACATCCTCAAGATCATACATTTTAATCATGGTTTCAAGTCAATGATATTCACAACAAGTATGATCAACAATGCAACATTATCAACATACGTTAATTTGTCATGCTTAGCCCTAGTTCATCATCTAAGGCTTCTTTCTAGGGTTTAATCACAATTCATGTAATTCCTCAATCAATCACACCAATTTATAGTCTAGCATATGTTCATAAATCTAGTTTCATTCATGATTTCATAGTCTTATTCTTGAAACAATTCTATCCAAAATAGCAATTCTAGAAGCCCTAACAAATCATCGATTTCCCTTCTCAAGGCATAACCTAATTACTTGATTTCTAGGAATTACCCATGGAATTCGCTCGTTGCACGAAGATCTACAAATAAACCCTACGATTGATTTACATATATCAGGTGATGAGCACAGATTTAAACTACTCAATTCATAAAACCTAGCCTACCTGGGCGCCAAGCAGTTGCACGGAGTTTTGACTTCGATTCGAGTTTTTCGGGCTTCGCGACGGTAGATTTGTCCAAGAATCCGCAAGATTTCCCCATCCTTAAGATAGAAATCTCCTTCTCCTTCCTTCCCAAGCTTAGAGAAGCTTTTCTGAGGCTTTTAGGGTGTTTTACGACTTATTTAGGTATTTTAGGAAGATGGAGAAAATAGGATTTCTCGTAATTTACGTTCTGCCTCGCCTATCCCGCTATGGCGCCAACTTATCCCACCTTGGAGCCGCCGCCCTAGCGGCATCTGGCCCGCTGTGGCGAGATAGTGGCTCAGAATTTCCCGAATTTTTGTTTCTCTTAATTAACGACGGTTCGGATCGTTACAAATACACCCTTTCACCTTCCAATGATAAAGTCCAAACGACATCTTTAGCTTCTTTTCCTTACTTATATATTGATGGATGAAAAAATATCATTTTGAATAATCTCTTTTTTACTTTTCTCAAATAACATTTTCTTGCACCTTTGTTTTTATATAACACTTATATGTAGTATCAAAAATAATTTATTTTGCTTTTTCTTTTGGATTGTTGATTCACTTTTTTGTTGTTAATGCAGGATACACATTATTGATGGACAAAATTTTATGCATTGCCATGTAAAGTTTAAGGGGAGTGAAAAATAAAGATCTCAATATCATTGTGAAGTTTTATTCTTAACTGGGTTATCTTTTTATTTCTAGGTGGTTAACCTTTGTTCTCTGTACTGTGTAATTTGTTTATACTCCTAATTTATTATTTCTATTTTAAGTCGTATGTGTCCAAATAGTAGGATTTCTTATTTGATCTGCAATCTGGAAAGAGAAGGAAGGCAGCACCAAATATATATATATATATCTCTTATTAGTAGTAGTATTTTTCCTTTTCTATGGTTGCCTTTGTTTGTTTCATGTTTATGTTGTTGATTAATTCCGGTTGATAACTTATTGTCATGATATAATTGGAAAATCTAACCCCAAAGTAATTTTTATTAATTTTTTGCTAATTCATTTTTATTTTAAGCAGGTTATTCGGTTCGTAGCTAACAATGAATGTGTATTTATTTATTTATTACATTTTTTCTTTAAATAATTTCATGGATCTCTGCTCATGAAAAATTATGTTTAAACTAATTTGATTCTCGAGAACAACTTAAAGATCTCCTTTATTATATATAGAGAACAAAAAAATTGTGATAACATATAATGTCATTATGATGACACACGAATAACCAATTTGAGGGGAGATAAGTGATAGCAAATTAGTATGAAAGAAAAATAAAATGCATAGTCATTAATATGCATTCATTGTTCAATTTGATTAGAGATTAAAATGATTGTTGCCACATTAAATAAATTGCAGTTATACTTGGGAATATAAGTTGTAGTTATGTTTAAGAATATTTTAAATTAAATAAAAAAAGAGGTGAGGTAACAAAGAATTATTTTCTTATTTCCATTTCATTATTTCCATTTTCATTTGATAACTTTCTTATTTTATTTTTTTCTATCAAAATGAGAAAATATATCAATATTATCAAACATAAATGTTACCAATTTATACCAAAAAATAAAATACACAAAAACAATTATATCTCAAGCTTTCATTTCCAAAATATCACCTCATGATCTTTTCTTCTTTTTTAAAAAAAAATTTCTCTTTGTATTTTTCATATCTAAGTTCACATAAATTATTTAATTGAAGCATTATGTATTTAACTTGAAATGTTATTTCATATAATGTTTTAAAAAATCATGAAAGATGACAGAATCACAAAATATAAGTAAATTGAACATTAATATTTGTATAATCTCTCTATATACAGTAAAGTTGTGTATAAATAAAGTGATGTGATAACTTTTTTCTCTCCTTTTCTCGACTGTTTTTGTAATTATATTATTTAAAAAAATTATCTCCATGATTACTCACATTTTCCTCAAAATTCGGTGAGTATAATTTATTGAGGCCTTTCAAAAATTATAAATGCATTATTATGGTAAGTAGTCTAACAATTTTGTCTTTGACTATTAGCAAAAGAAAAAAAAGTGATTAACAATTGAAAACTTTATTTTCTTCCCACAATGAAAGCACCTAATGGAATAGGTTGAAATTAGGACAATTCCTAAAAAAGAGTTGTAACAATACTTTTCATATGGAGATTAATGATGGTTCATTTATTCAATTTATCAATATTTCATTAAAATATCTAGGAGGCTAGAATGAAATTATGTTTATGTGTGATGCCACTTAGAAGATTCTTTAATCGAGATTTTGAGTTAGATTTATTCAAACATATAAATGGGATAATAATTTACATTTATATTTATATTATATTATATTATATTAACTAGATCAAAAGAAGTGTTAAAAAAATTAAAATAAGAAAGATAAATCTAATATTATAAATTTTAAGAGGTGAATATTATAAAGCAAAATATGTAGGAAGCTACAATGAAAATTCTAATTATCTCTTTTTTTTCTATATAGATCTATTATTGTTATTTCTATTTGCATTTAGTTCTACATTTTATGTATTTATATTAGAAAAAATGCATGCTTTTAATGGAAGCAAACTTTAAGTTAATTCTTAAAAAAATTTATTTTATTTATCTATTGTAAAGTGTATATTTTCCTTCATTTACCACGTCATAACTCTATAAATGAATGCATTCAAATGGATAATAATGTCATAATTTTTCAATTATTATAACCCTCTAACATAAAAGATAGGTTTTAGATGGTGCTAATTTAAATTTTCTTTTGGATAAAATCAATATTTCAAGAATAAGTCAAAATTACAACTTCAAGTGTAACAATTTGTAGTCTTATTTATTTGGATTTGAAACTCCAAAAGAATCTTTAAAACATTTTAAATATTTTTTCATAAATTTAATAATATTTTCACTCTACGCATTGAGCGGCTAAGATTACTAGTATATCAATAAAGTATGACGAGGGTAAATATATAAAGGGAAAATATGACCCTTTTATGAAATATTTTTCTTTAATACCAAAAACCCTTATATCTAGGGTTTCACCGTTCCTCTCAATTCCAGGCAACCTACACTTTCTTACTTCTTATCGGGGTATTTCCAACTCTTTGGCATTGCCACCTCTGTGTATTTTGGTACTGTTCTAGTTTTGCCATTTTTGAACCAGCTAGTATGACTAATCAAGGTATAAAATTCTCTCTTTTCCTCTTTCTAGTAAATTTTTGGATTATAAATTTTAAGAGATTATTTTTACTAATTTTAGCACCTAGTAAAAGAGTTGCTGTTGAAGGGGAAAAAGAGGATATAATCATTGCTCTACCAAGAACGTTGTTGATCGTATCCTTGAGCTCTTGCCGGTTCATGATGCAGCAAGAACTAGTATTTTGTCTAGTAAATGGAGAGATATTTGGGTCTCACTTCCATATCTAGTGCTAAATAACTATTTTTGCAAAAAGTTGACAGCAAAATTTACAACTGTTTTTAAAATAACAATTGATGAGATTCTCTTACAGCATGTTGGAGACATTGTGAAGTTTGTTCTTGACGTTTCAGGAATAAATTTGAATTTGTCTTCATATGCTAGTATTAATAGATGGATGCGTTATGTCACCAGAAATGGTGTCAAGGAGCTAACTATTAATATGTCGGATAATAAAACTTATATACTGCCTTCTTATGTATATAATTGTTCGACCTTGACACATTTGGAACTCTTCAACTGTGTCTTCAAACTACCAAATTCGTTTCTTGGCATTCGGAATCTTACGTATCTTCATCTAGAAAGAATAACACTTGTGCCAACCAACCAGTTTTGTGTTATCGATGTTCCCCTTCTTGTGGATTTAGTCTTGATGTTCTGTTGTGGCACTCAATACTTGAAGATGGTTTCACCACACTTGGGGTCCTTGGTTTTTCTTGTGGGTCACCATCTCATGCTAAATTGCTTTATGAATTGCAATAAACTGAGACTGTTGGTGATTGAATTGGAAAAAGTGGAGGATAATCCAAAACATGATGAAATATCAACCTTGGAAAAGTTTCTATTTAGCTTTCCTTCACTTGAACAACTTTATTTGGGTCCCTTGGTCCTTGAGGTAAGAAAATCGACGTGTTGTTTCACTTGAATATTTAATGTATAGTGATTGTATTCATCGGATTCTAATTATTGTACTTGTCGTAAAGCTTTTGAATGCAAATATAGTTCTGGATGAGCTTCCTCCCAAGCTCAACTGCTTGTGGTGTCTACACTTGGGTGTTGATTTCAACAAAGTGGATCAGATTTCTTATGCTCTACAGTTAATCAAGAGGTTTCCTAATTTGAGTAAACTTCTGATTACGGTAAGAAATAGTACTTATATGTTGTCGTGCAATGGATATAATTATTATTTGGTTTCATGTTTGCTCTTCATATATTTGAACTTGATAATCTAAAATTTCCTGGTATTTCTCTATACATTAGGTCGAGGGTAGCGATGAAAATGCTGAAACAATTATGAAACATTCAACCTGCTTGAATAGACCACTTAACAAGCTCGAGTATGTGACCATCAGTTCATTTATGTGCTCGCACTCCGTCTCTTGTAAGGATGTGCATTGAGCAAAGGATAGCCATTGCTTCCAAGGAAGAAAGGAATATCACCATAAAATTGATGCGTTTCCCCAGAGCTTCCACAAGGACAGAACTGTTCTATTTTCCATTTGAGGTTACGAACGCAGCCTGATGCCTCTGTTTTCACTGAGTTTTGTTAAACAGGGCACTGAATTGGCCAATTTCATAAAACTTGTGGTTTACTTAATGATAAATATGTTCATCACTTATGTTTTTAAAGTTAGTCTGTGTCGACGTGTGTGATGAGATTAACAGTTTTCGTATGCATATTTAACTACCTGTTTGGTAACTAAGGAAGAAATTTGACAGGAAGATGCAATGAAAATACCGGTGATTTTTGGTACTGTGAGTTAGCAATTTCAAAATTGTAGGCATAGATTCTTGATTTGGGGTTATTTTGCAAAGCACATGCAGACTCAAATGCTGCTTCCTTTTTTTTTTTTTTTTTTTGTAAAATCCATGTTATGTAATTCAATGTTTCTGAGTGATCTCAACCTAGTCAAATACATAATCTACATGAGTGTACGAGTCCGTAGACACATATTGTTGTACTTTTATCCCCAACCCAAAAGTAAACCCCAAGAACAAAATCGTAAATTTGATACCAAAACTAATTAATTTACCAATAAGGTCAGGAGCTTATGCGCCAAAAAATTATTGAAATCTGAGCACTACTTGATCCCCAAATTGAAGAAACATCAATATTCAACTATAGGTATTAAAAATCCCAATATATAATCATTTTTTTAATGTGAATACTAGGGATGTGAAAAATTGAATTGAAAATTGAACCAAATCGCGAATCGAGTCAAACCGAACAAAAAGCCCGATTAGTGATTTGGTTTGACTTCGTTTGGTATTGAAAAAAATTTCGATTATATTTGGGTTAGGTTGGTTTTAACTAAAAAAAATTTAACCCGAGACCAAACCAACCCGATATTGTATACAAAATTTTAAAATTTTATTTTATACATAAAAACTAGATAATTTTCCCGCTCTTCTCACGGTCATAAATAATAATTACATTGAACTTACAAATAATTCTTTACTAATATCCATACATTAAAAATAATAGAAAAAATAGGTTCTTAAAAAAATATTAGCAATATTCCAACATGAATTTGATTATTTGTCATTATCACATAACTCAAGAACTTCTAATGAATGAATTATTCAGGAAATAATAAATCATTGGTTCTATAATCAACATTAAAAGGAAAATAAAGAAGAAAATAAGAATATACACATAGGCATTTCATAAGAAAAATAACACATTTAAGTTGCATAGATTATACAATTATGATATATGTCTTAGGAAAAAATTTAAAAATTTGTTAACAGATTTAAAAAAAAAAAAAGAAATTACGCTTGAACATGAAAGCAATTATAACTTTTGAACTTGCATAATGAATTTCTTCAATTGATAAGTGAGGAACTTCATATCTATGTAAAAATAGATAATATGTAAGCTTATATATAGTACTTTTAAGTTATAAAATTTTATATAGAATATCAAAATATTAATTATTAGAAATGAGTACAATAATTATTTTCTACACAATGAATATACCTACTATATGTGTATATGTTCAATATAACTGGAGACAATATAACTTTGCAAAACATAAACAACAGAGTTTAAAACATGTACTCAAAAACAACAATTAATATCATAAGCATAAATTAATGACTGTAAAAAAAATACTAGAATATGTAAACATAGAATAAAATAGAAAGGAAAAAATCGAGTCCACTGAATGCACAATGTCCCCTTAAGAAAATTAATACCCGAGGTTTAAAGAATTAGATCTTCTCAGGATGGAACGATTTTATTCACCAACATATTGATACAAAAGAAATGGCGTCAGTAAACCACTCAACAGGAGCAAAGTACACGAATATTTAATTGTGCAGAAGAAGAAGAAGTTCAGAACTTTCGTTGTTTTAAAATGAGAGAAAATTCCTCTATTTATAGACAACAAAGGGTAGTGTGAACAAATGCTTATTGTACCTTATCGAAAATGTCACAACTCTTTGGAAAAGTCACAACCTTCGAAAAGTCACAACCTTTCATAAACGTCACAACCTTTCATAAAAGTCGCAACTTTACATAAAAGTCACAATGTTTCATAAAAGTCACAACTTTTCATGAAAGGGGAAGGCTAGTTTTGGAAATTAATAAATTAAAAGGGAATCCTAGTTTATGATGGCGCCACGTAGGCGGCATTGGCGGATCCAGGAATTAAGCTCAGGGGGTTCGAAATTTAAAGAAGAAGCTCATGTGGTAGTGTAAGTACACGGTGAGCGTAGTAACCCCGACATGTTTTTTGTACAAGGTATCTCATTGGTTGATAAAAGTTAACACCAAACTAATCAAAGATATTGAGAACAAAGCTACGTTGATAAAAAAAAATTAGTGGATCAGTTGTATTACATAAGTTAATTCCTAAAACACGTGAAAATTAAAAGGATGAAAAAGGAAGTGAGACGGAGAAGAAAAATATTTACCTTAACCCGCTAAATTTATATTACCTTATCGTACCGCATTAAATATTTCTTCCTACTTTTACCCTGCTCCATTGAACATTCTTAAAATTTCTTGTACTTTTTATACTTTTATTTTGTAATGTTTTACTTTATTTTGCATTTTAAATTTTTTTAAATTAGTATCCATTCAAACACATATTACTAGGAAAATTATCAAGATTCTCTAAAAGTGTGTACGTGAGTATAGATTTACTTATATTATAATGCATATTCAGAAGATAAATAAATGACATCGTCAATTTTTTAGTTCATGTAGTTTAATTTACTAGGTTAGTCATCACTTGTTGAAAAAAAAATGATGAATAAATCAAATAAGTTTTGTTTTCATCTCTCTAAAATAGAATTGAAAAAATAGAAAAGAAATTTCATGAATTCTATTAAATATATATTATTAAAAGGATATTAACAATTTTAGTTTCTTCATTCAACTACATCTAATGTATCTTCATATATATAATTCATCATTTTTAAAGAGTTGTACATAAAATTATGTTGAAATAAAATGACAAATAGATAGAAGAAGAATAAAAAAAATGTGTCTAATAAATTTAAACAAAAACAAATTAGAAAAAAAATGACATAAAAGAGAAAAAATAATGAAAAGGGAAAATTGTATATAATAGCAAACTATTAATTCACATTAAATGCTATAAATATAGTTTGATTTAATTGTACCTCATAGCAAACTGTTGTTATTTCAACTCTCTCCTGGTGAATCTCGCTCGCCACTCTCGTTTTGTCCCTCACCTCTCTCATTTTTTATACAAACGCAAGTGTATAAAGTGTGTTTGTGTTTGTATAAAGCGAGAGAAAATTGTATATATACATATATTTTCGTTCCCCTCTCTCCCCTCTCCCAGATCTCACTCTCTCACTCGCCTCTCTCACTTTATACAAAAAACGCAAATTGTATAAAATGCGTTTGTTTTTGTATAAAGAGAGAGAAAATTGTATATATACATATATTTTCGTTCCCCTCTCCCAGATCTCGCTCGCCACTCTCCCAGATCTCGCTCTCTCACTCACCTCTCTCACTTTATACAAAAACGCAAATGTATAAAATGCGTGAAAATTGTATATATACGTATATTTCCGTTCCCCTCTCTCCCCTCTCCCAGATCTCGCTCGCCACTCTCCTAGATCTCGCTCACTCACTCGCCTCTCTCACTTTATACAATTGATCTTTTTGTGTATGTATACCAAAACAGATTATACAACTACTTTCTTTTGTATATGTATAGCGAAATATGCATATGTATGTTTGCTATGGAGCGCAATTATTCAAACTTTGCTATAACATACAAATATGAATTTTGTGTTTGCTATATGTGAAAGTTGCTCTAATGAAAAAGAGAAGATGATCCAAGCCCAAAAGTTGAGCCTAATTCCATGCATTAAAAAGGGTAAAAAACAAAGATAAGAGGAATTGTTGCGTATGGGATTCCAACCCATGATGTAAAAGCCAATACTGAACCCCTTATCCATTGAGCCAAAGCTTCTCACTTGTTTTCAAGGGGTTCATTTTGATATATATACACATAAAATCAGAATTTGGCCCTATATATATAACGTAATTTTTCGACCGAGGGGGTTCGAGTGAACCCCCTAGACACAACCTAGGTCCGCCCTTGGTAGGCGGGCCTAGGGTTCTTTTTCTATATATATATATATTTACTTTGATATAATTTTTAAATATTTCTTATACTTTTTCATAGTTTTTATCTTTGAATATATTATTTCAAAGTTTGAAACTTAGAATTCTGAATGGTCCAATAAAAATTATCATACATAAATGTAGGTAATTATAATAAAGTTTAAATCAAAATCAAATTAATACTAATGCAAAGGAAAATCAATTCAACACTAAGAATGACAATAATATTGAATATTTGTTATTTAGTTTTACATTGGTTTAGATAATTAAAATACATAATCTAATTTTAATTTCCTTTAATATTTAGTCATGTAACTAATACTTATTAAACATATTGTAGCATAATTTAGTACTTTTAAATTATGATCATTTTCATTATGACCTATTAGTTTGCAATATTTGTTTTATGCGATTTCATTATTATTATTTTTGTTGGATATTTTAGTGTCATTAATCATATCATATTTTGTGTTATTTTCTTAAGAAACACCTTAGATAGTTGTATTTTGGTAGGACTAAAGAAATATTTGAAGTACAAGTAAATTATATGTTTGTATGAATACTTTACCGAAAAAATCTGAAAAAACACGAAAATCCAAAAGATCCAAAAAAATCCAAAAAACCTCGAGGTTAAAAACCCGAGTTTTATTGGTTTGGTTTGGTTTATATATTTTAAAAACTGACACAAATGATTTGGTTTGATATTTGAAAAAAACTTGAACCAACCCGACCATGTACAATGCCAATGACCCTCTCCTTTTACGTGAATGTGGCCCTTCCGTGTTATGTGAACACAGCCCTTCCGCGCGAAGGAGGAGTTACTGGCACTAGAAGACAACAAAACTAGAAAAATCAAACTTCAATCCACTCCTTGAAATTACTTGAGAACCTTCCAGATGCAAACCAAATATACAAATCGATGGAAAAACATGTTTTGGGCCTATTGAAATCATCAAAACACCGATTTGAGATCGTATTGACAAGTAAAATGTTAAGCTACTTTTCCAAAATGTTTGAATCCATCCAATGATCCAAATCGCTCTTAAGGTTTGACAGATTCAAATCACATGTCAAACATACTCTTCCTCCCTCTCAATTGCTGGCAACTTGCGGTTTCTCACTTTTTTGCCGGGAATTTCCAACTCTTCTCTTAATATGACATTTCCACCTCTGTGTATTTCGGTACTTTTCTAGTTTCACCATTTTTGAATCACATAGTATGACTCAAGAAGGTATACAATTCTATTTTGCCCATCAATTTTTATCTAAATTGTGAATTCCCCTAATTACTATAACATAAGATACTATGCACAATCAACATGATTAGTCAATATCATTCCAAATTGACAAACAATCACTATCGTTATTCATCACCACAATCAATTAAAGTATGGCTGCTTATTGGATGGATCAGGCGGATAATTTCGCTTAACGATTTGGCCTATTGGATAAGTTTTTAAATTTACTAATCCGTTAGCCAAAAATAAGATATCAACAATAGATTAACAATTATTGGGCGGTATATCGGCTATCCTCTACATTTTTGTTCATGAAAGCACCTTAAAAATAGGATTTTTTTTTCACTATTTTAAGTGCAGTTAAATTATTAAATTCTTTTATATTGCAAAAAAAATAAAATAATATATATATATATATATATATATATATATATATATATTTTAATAGTAATATAATAGTTAATACAATAGAAAAGTAAATGATTTTTTCAATTTTTGTCTTTACGGCTTTAGGACTAACAATATATGACAAAATATTAAATGAGACTAATATATCTAAGATAAAAGTGTAAGTATGGTAATCTTAACGGGTTAACGGTTTATCTTATAAGGAAATTGAATAATTACCCCCCACACTAATAAGTCGTTAATCATAAAATTCCAATCCGTCCACCAACTGCTTATTCGATAAATAAGCCAATAAGCCAATTTTACGATTGACTTATTGGTTACATATCGATTTTGAACACCCCTACCATCAATCCATATTAAAATTTTAAAATATTTTATTAATATAACATTAATTTAATTTAGTATTTTAATTTAATTTTATATTTATTGTTTTCTCAATAAAGACAAAATTTTATAGAAAAACAAGCTATAGTAATTATTTAATATTCAAACGTTTAAATGCAAATGAAAACAAATGAGCATATGCAACCCAAACCAAAAAATCCCCAAAATCTAGGGTTTCACCTTCGCTCTCAATTGCTTGGCAACGTGCGCTTTGTCACTGCAGTAACGTCTTCTTTGCCGGGCATTTCACTTTTTTCTTAATACGGCGTTGCCACCTCTGTTCATTTTGGTACTATTTTTGAATCAGTCAGCATGAATCAACAAGGTATAAAATTCTCTCTTTTCCTCTTTCTAGTATTTTTTTTGGATTATAAACTTTAAGAGATTATTTTTACTAATCCTAGAATTGATAGATGGATGTGTTATGTCACCAAAAATGGTGTCAAGGAGCTAAGTATTAATATGTCGGATAAGAAAACTTATATACTGCCTTCTTGTGTATTTAATTGTTCGATCTTGACACATTTGGAACTCTTCAACTGTATCTTCAAACCATCAACTTCTTTTCTTGGCTTTCGAAATCTTACAAATATTCATCTAGAAAGAATAACATTTGTGCCAACCAACCAGTTTTGTGTTATCAAAGTTCCCCTTGTTGTGGATTTAGCCTTTGATATTCTATTGTGGCACTCAATACTTGAAGATGGTTTTACCACAATTGAAGTCCTTGTTTGTTCTTGAAGGTCACTATCTCATGCTAAATTGCTTTATGAATTGTGAAAAAATGAGCATGTTAAGGATTGAATTGGAAAAAGTAGTTGATAATGCGAAACATGATGAAATATCAACTTTACAAAGGTTTTTATTTAGCTTTGCTTCACTTGAGCAACTTTATTTGGGTTCCTTGGTCCTTGAGGTAAGAAATCTACGTGTTGTTTCACTTCACTTGGAAAAAGTGATTGATTGTATTCATCAGATTCTAATTATTGTATTTGTCTGACAGCTTTTGAACGCAAATATAGTTCTGGGTGAGCTTTCTTCCAAGCTCAACGGCTTGTGGTGTCTATACTTAGGTGTTGATTTCAACAAAGCGGATCAGACTTCTTGTGCTCTACAGTTGTTCAAGAGTTTTCCTAGTTTGAGTAAACTTAAGATTATGGTAAGAATTGGTACATATATGTTTTCGTGCACTATATATTTTTATATATGACTTGATTCATCTTTGATCTTCTTATATTTGAACTTGAGAAGCTAAAATGTCTTGGTATTTCTTTATACATTAAGTCCATGATAGCGATGACAATGCTGAAACAGTTATGAAATATCTGGAGATACCAACCTGCTTGAATAGACCACTTAACAAGCTCGAGTATGAGACCATCAATTCTTTTCGGTGTTCAAAAACTGAAGTATTTTTTGTAAAGCTATTATGTGCTCGCACTCCGTCTCTTGTAAGGATGTGCATTGAGCAAGGGATAGCCATTGATTCCAAGGAAGAAAAGAATATCACCATAAAATTGATGCGTTTCCCCAGAGCTTTCACATGGGCAGAACTGTTCTATTTTCCATTTGAGGTTACGAACGCAGACTGATTCCCCTATTTTCAACGAGTTTTGTTAAACAAGGCATTGAATTGGCCAATTTAGTAAAATGTGTGTGATAAGATTAATGGTAAACATGTTCATCACTTGGATATTTCTAAAGTTAGTATGTATCGACGTGTGTGATAAGATTAACAATTTTCATATTTAACTACCTGTTATTGTAACTATGGAAGGTTAAGGTCGTAATTTCGTAGAAATGGGAAGGGTGATTGGGTACATTCATTTATTTGTTGTACACAAAGTACCCTCCAAAGTAAAACTACTTTGAAAACTATTAAACCACTACCTTTCAAATTGAAACCACTCCTGAAAAGTCTAACCTCTACTCTTTTCTTTTCAATTTACACTATCCAAGAAATTTATATCAACTCCTATACTCTATTGAGATTTAGAGCATTATATTTCTATGGGTTCCGTATTTCTATTTCTACCAAGTTCTTGGTCTTTCTTTATTGTTCTTCATGTTTAAAAGCGTTTTATTTTCGTTCATAATTTTCATTTGAAAAAATAAATCAACAGCAATACCATATTGAGTAAACTATATTTGTTCCAAACTTTTGTTCTTTAACAATTTTTTCTTCATTTGCTACAACCCTTTATTTCTTTCATAATTGTCATTTCATGGGCATGTAAGTGTATGTTGTTTTCAAGGGTAAAAAACAAGGTATATATTCAAGTTGGCAAGAATGTGCAAATTTGACCATGGGAGTTAGCGGTAGTTTATACCGAAAATACAAGAATTATGATGATGCTGTGCCTTTAGAAGATTGGAATTTTTGAACTGATGGAGTGAAATTAAGCTACGAAACTACTAGGGAATCATGTTCTAATTCTGTGCATGGGGATGAAAAGAAATTGTTATCTAATGAACAATATATACTTATGTTAGCAATGTTTTTTGTGGGTTTTGTTGTTGGAAAATCAATGAAAGATTTATTTGTTAAGATGATTTTGTGATGTTATTTTCATTTAGGATTGTATGTGTATTGGGATTGGGGTTTTTTTTTTTTTTCGTATTTGTCCTTATATTTTGGATTGGGCCTCTTTTTTTTTGGATTTGTCCTTATATTGTGGATTGAGCTTGTCAACATAAGTACTTTTATTTACTAATTTATAATAATTTAAAAAGAATAAATAATATATGTTTAGTGATTATAAACGAATGCTATTGCAGCGCGAATGGTTAAAGTATAAACGATTAGTCTATAGGTCACGAGTACGAGTCTAGGTTAGGTCCTCCATTTTAGTTATTTTTTAAAAAAACGACTCTCTTCAAATAATTTTAAATTTCTTATTCTTTTGGTGAATAAGTGTGTAAAAATTTATATTTGGATCATTTTTACAACAAATGATGATTTTTCATTAGTATATCAAATCACTATGATGAAAATAAACGTAAAGGATTTATTATTATATGAATGATACTCCTTCACAGATACAAGTCAATTGAATGTGATGAATATAATCATGATCAAGATATAATTGGTTATATCTTAATACAATTAGTTATGATATATGTCAACCTTTGATCAATTTATTTTCAAATTTTAGGGGTGATTAGACTCCATTTATTGATAATATCTTATTTATAAATTGCCTAGTGATATTCATTAAATAGTTGATATTAAGAAGAATAAATGAATTTCGTTTCGTGATTACGAACGAATGTTACTACAACGCGAATGGTTAAAGCTTAAACGATTAGTCTATAAGTCACGAGTTCGAGTCTAGGTTAGGTCCCCCATTTTAGTTATTTTTTATAAACAACTCTCTTCAAATAATTTTAATTTTCTTATTTTTTTGGTGAATAAGTGTCTAAATGTTTATATTTGGATCCATTTTACAATCAATGATGATTGTTCGTTAGTATAAGTCAAATCATTATGATGAAAATAAGCGTAAAAGATATATTATTATATGAGTGATTCTCCTTCACAGATACAAGTCAATTGAATGTGATGAATATAATCATGATCAAGATATAATTGGTTATATCTTAGTACAATTAGTAATGCTATATGTCCACCTTAGAATAATTTATTTTCCCATTTTAGGGGTGATTAGACTATATTTATTGATAATGTCTTGTTTATAAATTGCCTAGTGATATTCATTAAATAACTGATATTAAGAAGAATAAATGAATTTCATTTCGTGATTATGAACGAATGCTATTGCAACGCGAATGGTTAAAGCTTAAACAATTAGTCTATAGGTCACGAGTACGAGTCTAGGTTAGGTCCCCATTTTAGTTATTTTTTTAAAAACAACTCTCTTCAAATAATTTTAAATTTCTTAGTGTTTTGGTGAATAAGTGTCTAAAAGTTTATATTTGGATCATTTTTACAACCAATAATGATTTTTCATCAGTATAAGTCAAATCACTATGAGGAAAATAAACATAAAGGATATATTATTATATGAGTGATGCTCCTTCACAAATACAAGTCAATTAAATGTGATGAATATAATCATGATCAAGATATAATTGGTTATATCATAATACAATTAGTTGTGGTATATGTCAAGCTTTAATCAATTTATTTTCACATTTTAGGGGTGATTAGACTATATTTATTGATAATATCTTATTTATAAATTGTCTAGTTATATTCATTAAATAACTCATATTAAGAAGAATATATGAGTTTCGTTTCGTGATTATGAACTAATGCTATTGCAACGCAAATGATTAAAGCTTAAACAATTAGTCAATAGGTCAAGAGTTCTAGTCTAGGATAGGTCCCCCATTTTAGTTATTTTTTAAAAAAACAACTCTCTTCAAATAATTTTTAATTTCTTATTTTTTTGGTGAATAAGAGTGTAAAAGTTTATATTTGGATCCTTTTTATAACCAATGATGATTTTTCATTAATATAAGTCAAATCTGTATGATGAAAATAAACGTAAAGGATATATTAGTATATGAGTGATGCTCCTACACAAATACAATTCAATTGAATGTGATGAATAAAATTGTGACCAAGCTATAATTGGTTATATATCTTAATTCAATGAGTTATGCTATATGTCAACCTTTGATCAATTTATTTTCACATTTTAGGGGTCATTAGACTATATTTATTGGTAATATCTTATTTATAGATTGCCTAGTTATATTCATTAAATAGCTTATATAAGAAATGAATAAATAAATCTCGTTTCGTGATTATGATCGAATGCTATTGCAGCACGAATGGTTAAAGCTTAAACGATTAATCTATAGGTCAAGATCGTTCGAGTCTAGGATAGGTTCCCCATTTTAGTTATTTTTAAAAAAACAACCCTCTTCAAATAATTATAAATTTCTTATTTTTTTGGTTAATAAGAGTGTAAAAGTTTATATTGGATCCTTTTTATAACCAATGATGATTTTTCATTAGTATAAGTCGAATCACTATGATGAAAATAAATTTAAAGGATATATTATTCTATGAGTGGCGCTCCTTCACAAATACAATTCAATTGAATGTGATGAATAAAATCATGACCAATTTTAAATTAGTCTCTTTGTAGGTTTGAGGATTTAAATAATTTTAAATTGACTAGTTTATATTCATTAAATAACTGATATGAACGAGAATACACTAATTTCCTTTCGTTATTATGAACGAATGCTATTGCAGCGCGGATGGTTTAAGCTTAAACGATTAGTCCAAAGGTCATGAGTTCGAGTCTAGGTTAGGTCCCCCCATTTTAGTTATTTTAAAAAAAAAATAGATTCTTTGTAGGTCTGGGGATTTCAAACGTCTTATTTTGCTGAACATCAAAAAATTTATGATCACACAATTATTATTTTTTAAACATCTTTTTTAAAAAAAATTAGACTCTTTGTAGGCCTGGGGATTTCAAATGTCTTATTTTGCTGAACATCAAAAAATTTGTGATCACACAATTATTATTTTTTAAACGTCTGGTCTTCATATTTCATTTTAACAAACAATCCAGTACAACACAGAATAGTTGAATAAGTAATAATAAAGAAAGTAAAAGTCGAATAAAATTAGTTGATAAACAGAAGCAAAAAACTATGCACATAATTACAAGCACATAAATTGGTCTTAAAAATACTTTAAATTACAATCCAAACTTTGGCAAAATATCAAATAAATGATCAACCTCAATATCACAAGCACATCCATAACAAGGTTGATCATCTAGTTCTTTGTCACTATCAACAGGCCATCCATTCACCTGAACATGATTCTCGTGTTCACCAGTGTAACAACGGTCTGGTCAATGAGTAAAAAAAATTGGATTACTAACCCAAACATTACATATAATATTGATTAGACTCTCCCTCCATTCCTTTAGTTCTCTTCTTTGAGGGAGATTTTCCTTCATTTGGCCAATGAACTTGACCGCGTCACTACTGTCGCTGGCTCTAGCGAAAATGAAAATAATGGCAAGCACATATGCTGCGTCATTGTGTCCTCCTTTTTTAGCTTCCCAAAGC